TGAATGTAAAACTGATGATATGCCCTGTAAACTTTTACTCAATCCACAATAAAAACCTTAAATTTAAAAAAAAAAAAAAAAAGGCAAACTAGTTACTCAAAAAGCCTCTGTCTTCCTGCCGCCAGCTGACATATGTGGGGAGGTGAACATGTGGCTCCTCCATCGGCCACCAAGATGCTGAGGGGATGTCCTAGCCTGGGGCAGCCTTGGTTCACACACAACTCAAACCAGAGCACTGAGCACCTGGGCTTCAACTCCTCACCTCCAGGTTTGACAGAGAAGTTTCAGGCCCCTACTGGCTCTGGGATGCCAGGTCCCACTGCAATCCTGAAACACTAATCAGTAGACCCCCTAAAGTAAAACATCAGCAGTGTACAACAGATGGGGAAGGAAGTCCAGGCTATCTGCTGAAATATCAGCCACTGAACACTATGGGAGTATGGAGTCACCATGAGTAAGGGGCCAAATTGATGGCAGCAAAGATTTAGCCACTGATCTCTAGAGCCAGCCCCCGCTGCTCCCACCCCCTTCTCAGTGAAAAGTGTCCTCTGCTGCCCAGAGACCTGAGCACCATCCCAGCTTTGCTGTGACCACAGGCCCACTCAACCAGCAAATCCTGCCAGTTCTACCTTCAAAATGGACCCCAATTCTGTTGTTGTCAAGTACCGCTGAGTGGATTACAACTCAAAGCGACCCTGTATAGGGTTTCCAAGGAGCAGCTGCTGAGCTAGAACCGCCGACCTTGCAGTTCAAATGGCTTTGCAGTCTGGTGCATTAACCCACAGTGCCACACCAGGACTCCCAACTCAGTTGGGGTGACTAAATAATTTTGGAAATATGTGGTGCTGGCTGGTTATGCAGCACTGTGGAGAGAATGCTATCACTATACTATACAGGGGAGCGCCGTGGCTCTGTAGGGTCAGACACAGACTGTGAACCATGAGTTTGGCAGTTCAAACCCACCAGTCTCTTCATGGAAGAAAGACGAGGATTTTTGCTCCCACAAAGATTTACAGTTTTGGAAACCCTATGCAGGGTTTCCATGAATCGGAATAGACTCAACAACACTTAACTGTGTTGTACACTTAAAAATAGCTAAAATGGCATATTTCATACTACATATATTTTACAATAAAACACACATGCACACAAGATATAGCCACTGGGAGTCTACTGTTTATTTGCAATAACCAAAGAACATCATGGCTACCTTCCACTGGCAGGAGGGCGCGTGGTAGTGACTCTGTGAACTGAGGTTCCGAGGTCCAGGCAGGATGGCAGTGACCCTGAAAACACGCTGAGAAGCGGGCTGCTTTCTGCCGTCCCCTGACATTCATGCCTTTGACACATACACAGGCACAGGATCAGGCTTGGCGGCTGGTGTCAGGGCCAGACCGTAAAATAGGTTCTGTAGCAGCCTTGGGTACCTATTTGTAACCTCAAGATTATACCCATCAATGTTCTAGAGCCAAACACGTGACCAACATCCCCCCAAGGAAGCAGATGTCAGGAAGTTAGGAGTAGGTAGGTCTCTGTTCATTAAAAAGTCGTCCGGCTTGAAAGCACAGGTCTGGATGTGGCCAGGGAGAGGTGGGAAGGCCCATACTTCGGGCACCAGTTCCACTGCCGGGCTGGGCATCCTGGCGGTGGTGGTGGCAGAGGTATCCTAGGAGTCAGTGGCACCAGCATTCAAAGGTCAAGGATGGGTTGGGGCGAGCCCACCTGATTGGCGTGGCAGTGAATCATCCTATACAATATTGTTTTAAAAAGATACAATACAGTAGAGTTCAAATCCGGGGGCAGAAGGGTACTTCACTGAGTCCATGGCTCTCCTGAGCAGACCACGCCTCTGCCCTGTGAGATCCTGTCACTTAGGCACCTGCTTGCTTGACAGGTGTCAGGTTGAGTGGGTCACAGACTCCACCAATGAGCATCCAGGGACGAGCCTGTGGGCGAGGCTTCTTCCAATCCAACCCTCTTCTCAGAGTCCCACTCATTTTTTCCCTGCTAAGGCAGGACCTGAGGATCCTAGTTCAAGGTGGCAGGGCTGTCCTTCAGTGGCACCAAGCAAAGGGTGGGGACAAACATGCCTCCCTGAAAGCACACCAGCCCGGGGTTGGGGGTGGGAGCTCCTGGCACCAGGCGGTGCTAAGGCACAGCACAGGCACTCGCAGGAAGGACATTACGTCCACTTGTCCACATCTTGATCTGCTCAGAACAAGATTTGCATTTTCTATAGTTTCCCTGAATGGTCTTGTAGATGTCAAAAAAGTTGTATTTCCCGCCCCACCCCAATACAAAACAAGAAATGACACAAGTAGTAAAAATATTCATTCCGGGAGCATTTCGGTATAGAAGCCCTCAGAGTGGCCAGGTGGTAGGCACTGGGCCTCATCTGTAGTATGGGCCCAGCTCTCAGTTGCTCCATTGGCTGCAAGGCCTGGGGACGCAGGCAGGGTTGGTGAGGAGTGATTGTGGAGGTCCCCACACGCTTCTGGGCTGCATGACTGACACACACAGGAGTACTTTTCCAAGAGTATGTGGGGTGGGGTGGGGTGGGGTGGGGGGTGAGGGAAGTGTGTGGAACAGACCAGATGCCATTTAGAAATCACACTGCAGATGTGCCAGGGGCCCAATGCATGGAATCAGTCTGTGGCCTGCACAGCTGTGAACAGAACTGGAGTGTCACTACTTCCCAATGACCTATAATTTACAACCAGACGGCCACAGGGGTGGGGACCATACCCAGAACAGGCAGCGATGTGTACTCTCCTGTGTGCAAAGCCCCCAAAGCCACTGGCAAGTCCTGGGGAGATCAGGGCTGGACGACGCTCACTGCAGGATGAAGCCCGGTTGGTGTGGGGGCAGCCGGGGTGGGGGCCGCTGAGGGAGGGCAGGGGGATATGGCGTCACAAGTTGTGCAGAAAAGCCCTGCTGTGGGGGGAGGTTGGCTGATGGGAGGCCCACTCTCGGGGGCAGTGGGGGACACTGCATTCCTGGATATGGAAAGGCCTGTCCTGAGCCCAAGGCAGCTGTGAACGGGGTGGCAGAGCGTCCTGCCAACACAGGCGGCGGTGGAGGGGGCACTCGCCGGGGTGCAACAGCAGGCGGCCCACTGGCTTCAGGGGTGGGGTAGGGTAGAGGGGCAGCGGGAAGGGGCTCAGGCAGCCGGGCCGGCAGTAAGGCCAGGGCCTGAGGGAGTCTCTGCCCCTTTAGTGCCATCTCCTGGAGCTTGTCGATTTTAACTCTTCGCATGTGAGCCAGCTTCCGTTTACTCTGATAGACATCAATGAAGGAGTCTAGAGGGAGCTCACCATCCAGAAACTTCTCTGCCATGTTCTGAAAGACGCAGGTGATACTTAAGTTACAGGACACGTTGGCCACCAGGAAACAAGCTCCCTTCATAGCCCGGGGCACCAGCAGCAGCCAGGCAGGGAGGAGCCACACGCTGCCAGCTTCTCCCGATGACCACCCTGAGATAGCCTCACTTGCTCCAGGGGTGGGTAGGAGCCACTGAGCCAGACAACTGAGGTGAGGTTGGTGGGGTGCCTCCCGCCTGCAATCCCAAGCTAGGACAGGCGGGAGTCGTCAAGAAGCAGGGTCCTCAGAGCATCGTTCCTGCTCTCCCTCCTCAGGCCAGCAGGTGGCCAGGTTTCTCTCACTTCACTCACGGCTGGCCCTAGTTGACGTCTTGGATGGGGTTCAGCAGTCTCACCATGGTGGCAGTACCAGCCCCAACTCAAGACACCTCAAAGCTACATTTTGGAGTCCCTGAACTAACAGAAAGATGGTCAGTGGTCAGTTTGAGCCCACAGCCCCCAACTTATTTCCCTGAAGCGTATCCCTGTAGCATCAGCTGGCCATTCCACAAAGCACTGTGACCACCCTTGGACACATGGAGCAGATGGAAACTGAACCCCCAACACACCAGGCCCAGCCTCCAACTCAGCAGGGCAGCGTGAACACCCCTGCACCTCTGCCGGCAGCACTTGTGTCACTAAGAGGACTAGGGGACCAAGGACCTGGGGAGTTGGCCTTACCTCTGTGTCTTCCTCGATCTTGGCCCCTTCAGCTTGAAGGAGCGCCAGCAGGGTCTCTAAGGAAGCGCTGTTTGACTGTCGATCTAAAAGAGGCAAAGATGTGAGGGGTGGGCACATCCAAGCACAGCATCAGAACCCAGAGAACAACCTTGTTTCTCTCACAGATAGCAGGAGAGGAGCTGGAAGGAGAGGCCTCCCAGCTCATGATAACTGACTCACATACCTAGGGGGGTGGGCTTGGGGAGCACAGCCAAGCCCAGGCTTTCTGAGGCCCCACGGCCCTGGCACCTGAAGTATCTGAGCGAAAAGCTGAAGAAAGCGCTAACTCTCTGGACTGATTACTCACAGAAGATGTACAGATATTAAGTGTATGACTCAAACATTCACAGATGCATATACTCAAGTGACTATCTCATCAGGTCAGGAGCTAGGACAATTCCAGCAGGCTCCCTGCAACCCACCTCCAATGCCCATGCCCACGTGGATCAGCTCTGCCTAGTTTTGCACTTGGTGTAAGTGGAATCCTAAGTCTAGGCTCAATGTGTAACTTTTTTCAGACAATATTTAGTCTCCGACATCATCTGAGGTGCTCATGTCCTTTCCGCGTGCTGTGGGATTCCTCACAGCAACTCACAGCAAGCCTATATGACAAAGCAGAACTGTTTCACAGGGTTTCTGAGGGTGTGAGCTTTAAAGAACAGACCGCCTCAGCTTTCTTGCTCAGAGTGGTTGGTGAGTCTGAGCAACCTGACCTTTCGATTAGCAGCCTAATGTCTAATCCACAGTGCCACTAAAGTGACTTACTACCCATGAGTTTGTAGACGGACACCGAGTCTTTCCAAATTGTGGCCGCACCAAACATTCATGTACATAACTTTCAATGGAAAAGAAATCCCCGTCTCTCTCTGAGGCATACACCCAGTCATGAAAAGGGCACATCGCAGTGTATGAGTGGTAAGTTTGAGGAGCTTCTGCCACACCAGCTTTCCAAGGTGGTTTTACCAGCCTGCACTCCCACCTGGGGTGTAAAGAGCCCCCTAGCCTCTACAGTCAGCATCTACTGGCAGCCCCTGACCACTAGCCCCTGTGGGGAACAGAGAAGATATCAGACATCACTGGCAGCCTCTAGGACAGCTAGCGAAGTGCCCTAGACTTCCTGAAGGCTGCAAGTTAACCAGTGACACTGAAATAATAAACTGACCCAGTGAGTGGCGCTTCCCATTGTCAACTCTGAGGACCAAACATCACTGTTTCCAATGTTAACCTTCAGAAAGCTGCCATTTATTTACTTCCATCCTGCTGGGGGACATCTTGACCACCACAACAAAAAAAGGGGTCGTTTTCTTTTAAATAGGTGACATTGCTCTATGTATGAACTATCATCCTCATGGTAACAGAACCGGTCTCAACTGGAAATGTTCCTCAACAATATTCCTTTTCCTGGCCGGGCAAAGGTTAGACAATGTGTCCTTCCTTGGACAGTGTTCTTGGAAAGATCACCCTGAGAAGTTACCTAGTTTGGTCTTCTTTATCTGATAGGCTTCAAAGAGCACCTGGAGTTCCTGGTATTTCTGGGACAGACTGGCTTTCAGAGCATCCAGTTGTGGCTGGTATAGTAGGTTCCCTTCAGCCAGGTTCCGATTGCTGGTGAGCGTCATTTCTTTGTTGAGCTGCACGTTCTGTGTCTGTAGAGAACATTCAAGATGAGAACCAACAGCAGAGGTCCTTGTGGCCCCCCACCCCACAGGAAGCCAAAGCATATGGCCCAGTTTCCCAGTTCTCCCAACTGGCGTCAAGTGCAAACACATACTACCAAGCTGACTCTGGCCCTTGTGACTGCCCTCCACACCCCCACTGCAGTTTTCCAAGGAGAGCCGACTTCCTTTGTGACCAGCTTTCAAGCTGGCTTTGTCCTGTGGCTCTGTCCAGAGATCTTATTTCAACAGCTGCACTGTGACTTGAATTTTTTATTACTGCCATTGTTCTTATGAATGTAAACAGCTGTAAAGGCTTAGGGCTGGACTGTTTGAAAAACCAGTTTCTGTAACTCCAAGGAAGTTAAAGAGTCACTTTAATCACAGGCGAACCAGCTGGCATGTCAAGTCGAGCTTAAAACTGAGTGTAACCCAGGTGGGGGTGTATGTGTGCAGGGGGACCAGGGGGCGGACTGTGTTGAAAAAAAGCCACAGACCCTAAGGATTTATTTCACATAAAGAGATGCTCATTCTCTTTTCTGCCCCCTCCCCAGGCCACTGAGTCAACCAGTCCTTGGCTAATGGCCCAACCCCAAACCCACTGCTAAGTCAATTCCACTCATAGTGCCCCTACCTACAGGACAAAGAAATGCTCCCCCATGGGACTATCAAGGCTGTGATTGTTAGGAAAACAAACTGCCATAGCTTTCTGCTGCACAGTGCTTGCTGAGTTTGAACCGCTGACCTACCTTTTAGTTGCAGAAAGTGCTTTACCCATGGAGCCAGCAGGCCTCATGGTTGACAAAAAGAGGAGGCATATTTTGCCCAATAAGGGTTTCACTCTGACTTTACACCTACCAGACCTCACTTAAGAGCTAGGGGTGAGACAGGTGATGGAAGGGCACAATGCACAGAGCTCAGCCCACTTTGTGCATTTACAAAGAATACAAGAGACACACACACACCTACCCTGTGTCCCCCTGTTGCTCCCTTGCTTCTTCCCACTACAGCTGTCCACTGCTGTCCACATCCTGGACTGAGTTTCAACAACACACCGTGCCTCCTGCCACTTTTGTCAGTGCTTCTGTTTGCAGCTTCTTCTCCGACCCCACCCATGTCAGCTGATTTTCCCCTAATATTGTCTCCCACCCGGCCCAGTTTATTTTAGCTGCACACTTCCTTCCTCCTGGCGGTTGGCACGGGGAACCCCAGCCTCACTCTTGCTCTGGCTCACTTGCTGAGCACACACAGAAAAACAAAGAGGACAAAGAGAGAGGCCCCAAAACCTCCAGCTGCAAGGACCCGCAGTTTCTCTCTCCTAACACACATAAGCTGGGCCAAGAACCCCTAAGCTCAGAACAAAGGACCGAGGTGGAAATGGAAAAGAACTTTCCGGGCTCCACATTTCGAGCAGGGAGATCCTGCGTACTCTTTCTGTGGCTTCACTGAGGAAGGGTGATCCAGGACTGTAAAGACAGGCTAGACACTGGCTTACTGGGATAGGAGGGTCCCGAGAGGTAGCTGAAACATCCTCGCACTTGGGGTTCCTGGGCTGCTCCCCATTGAGGCAGCCCAGCTTTGTCCATCTGCTATTTATATACTAGAGTCCTGGTGTGGTGCTGTGGGTTAATGTGCCAGACTGCAAAGCTGTTTGAACCACAAAGTTAGTGGGTTCAAACTCACTAGGTGATCCTTGGAAGCCCTATATAGGGTAGCTATGGGTCGGAAACGACTCAACGGCACTTAACAACATTTATATACCAGGCCCTGCAGGATATCTTTCTTGCCATTGCTAAGCCGCTTAAAAGAATGCACATGCGCAATCTGTTTCTTCTAATCAAAACAGACAACTACCAAAGGACAAGCAACTGTAATCCTGAGCATTTTTCCAGAGAAATGAAAACAATATTTACACCAAAACCTGTATCTGAGCATGGCAGTGTTACAAGCCAAAGTTCCAAATTAGATGGAACCCTGAAGGCAACAGATGAATGGCTAAGTACACTGGCACTTCCACACCACAGACCACCACCCTAGACCACAGAGTTGAATTCAACTCATTGTAAGACCAAGTGGACCTGCCCCATCTGGTTTCCAAGACTGCCAAACTCTATGTAAACAGATTGCTTCATCCTTCTCCGGTGGAGCAACTGGTGGGTACAAATCGTCTACCTTTCGGTTTACAATAGTTACAATATTTTACAATAGTTAAAGCTTAGTGCTTTAACTACTGTACCACCAGCGCTCATTCCATGAATTGCTACTCTACAATAAAAAAGAACCACCAAAATATCCTACAGTGTGCTGAGTGAAGCTAGTCGCCCTCCAAGGCCACATGGTCAGATCTAACACTCTGAAAATGACCCAGTTATAGAGCAGGAAGGCAGATCCTGGTTTCAAGAGTCAGGAAGTTGGGGGAAGAAAGTGGCCACAACAGGAATGGTGTGGGTCTCTCTTGTGGCTATGACATACTAGTTTCACCAGATGCTACCACTGGGGAAAACTGGGTAAGGGAGCACCTGGGACCTCCCTGTATTGCTTCTAAGAACTCTAGGTGAATCTACAGTTACTTCAAAATAGCAAGCTGAAATATACAATCATAAGCAAACTGCATCATTTCTATCACCAAGGCCTTATTTTCCAACTACTGATAGATATGATGCTGGAGATCACATGATAGAATTCTGCAAAAGCAGTGATTTGTTCATTTCAAATACCTTCTTTAGACAGCATTAACATGGACCTCACCAGATGGAATACACAGAAATCAAACTGACTACATCTGTGGAAAGAGAAGATGGAAAAGCTCCGTATCATCAGTCAAAACAAGGCCAGGGGCAGACTGTGGAACAGACCATCAATTACTCATATGCAAATTCAAACTGAAGCTGAAGAAAATGAAAACAAGTC